CAGCACAGGGGCTGTCTGACCAGAGGCGGGACAATTCTACAGTGTCCTGGAAAGCCTAATCTACGCACCTCTCTGCCTCCTTTAGCTCCTCCAGTTCAGTCACCCTGGCCTCCAAACCCGTACACGGTCTCTGAAGGCTAAGAACTCCTTCCACTGAATGCACACACATATCACCCACCCATAGGGCAGGTAATCATACATGCTACACTGAGTGCAGTAAACAGGATAGCCCCCATTCTGCTGTTGGACTTCTGCCTGCATTCTCTCCTACAGCTACCTAGGTTATTGATAGGGTTTCTAGTTAAAAGGTTTTAATTAAAACTTCCTGATTTAACTAAACTATAAAGACTGCAGAAATTAGATGGCTGAGTCAATAGTTATAAAGACTGGCAAGTGTACCCTGGCCCCTTCCCACTCCCCTTCCAAACTCCCTCTCAAAACTCACCATTTGCTGCTCCAGTTCGCAAAGCTCACTGGTTGCTGACTCACTGCTTTATAAAGCCCTGGCCGAGGTGGAACGAGGTGTACAGATAGTTCGGAATGGCTTGCTAGTCCGAACTATCTAGCCCGTGCCGCGTGTAGCCGGGCGGCACGGGGTTCGAACAAGCCGGCATTTAAAAATGGCGCCGGACGGCTTATGCAAATAAAGCCCGGGCAATTCAAATCCCGGGTTTCATTTGCACGTTCGGTATGCATACGTTACCCCGCTAGAGCGTACTAGCGGGGTAGTGTAGACATACCCTTATAGTCCTAACCTTCACAGCCTCCTCTGGCAAGGAGTTCCACAGATTGACTATGCGCTGTGTGAAGAAGAGCTTCCTTTTATTTGTTTTAAACCTGCTGCCCATTAGTTTCATTTGGTGTCCTCTAGTTCTTCTATTACGGGAACTAATAAATAACTTTTCTTTATCGGCCCTCTCCACACCACTCATGATTTTATAGACCTCTATCATATCCCCCCTCAGTCTCCTCTTTTCTAAACTGAAAAGTCCCAGTCGCTTTAACCTCTCCTCATATGGGACCCGTTCCAAACCCCTAATCGTTTTAGTTGCCCTTTTCTGAACCCTTTCCAAGGCCAAAATATCTTTTTTGAGGTGAGGAGACCACATCTGTACACAGTATTCAAGATGTAGGTGTACCATAGTTTTATACAGGGGCAGTAAGATATTCTGTGTCTTATTTTCTATCCCTTTCTTAATAATTCCTAGCATCCTATTTGCCTTTTTGACTGCCGCTGCATACTGTGTGGAAGTTTTCAGAGAACTGTCCACGATAACTCCAAGATCGCTTTCCTGATTTGTCATAGCCACTCCCCAACTTACGAACACACCGACTTACAACCATCTGTACTTACAACCAACCTCCCATTAACCCCATTATAATATTTTTGAGTTCAGAACCATTGTACGTCAAGTTTTTCAAACAGCGTGTTTAAGGATATTTCCGACTTACAACCAAATCGAGGTATGACCAAGTGTTCGGAACATAACCTGTTCGTAAGTCAGGGACTGCATGTAGTTCAATGTTCCCTTTTTCCTGCAGTTCCTCACAGGCTTTTTTTTTTTTTGTGCATCACCCTCTGGATATTTGTAGCAAATGCTGCATGTTTTGTCAAGGAATTTGTTGGGGTTTTTTGTTTTTGTTCTTTGCAATTTTTTGAGAGTAGTCTCTCACTACAAATGAGGCAATGTGGATATCCAGACCTATCCACAAATGCTTACAAGTCTGCCCACTCCTTTTGAAAATGTTGGTACTCATCATCTCTTTTTCTCTTCACCATTTTTAATGTTGGGGATTACAGAGTTCACCATCACGTATGATGATGGAAAGATTTCTTGACCAATCAAATAAAGAGAATATTCCCCCATTGAGTTGAAATGATGGATGGTTGTTAAAATGAACAGTTAAAAGTGAAATAAACAACATAAAAAATCTTTCCATGAGTAATTATGAGTTTTTTAAATTTTGAATTAATTTTTCATTTTAATTTTAAAAGTTGTGTGTATTTGGAGAATGACAAAAGAGACACGTATGGTTCCATACTGAGCCGTAGGTTGCTAGACCGCTGTGCTACCACAATATGCCACTGAAAATAGAAACAGATGGAGAGTCTGAGCCAAAACTAATTTAACCCAGTCCAATGTCTGTTCATTCAGTGGGCTTTTGTTTAGGCCTCTAGTTGTTGTGACTCACAGTAACTAAGGAAACCTGAATTTACCGTATAAGGATCTGAACTACCTAGATATTTGAAACACGTGCCACTTTATAATATGTGATCATTACCCAGGAGAGCCTCTTAAGTTTTCGCTTCATAAAACTGGCCCAACAGTGCTGAGTACAATAAACTCTCCTATATGATAAACAATGAATGGTCCTGCAGCACCTTAGAGACTAACAAAAATGTAGATGTTATCATGAGCTTTGGTAGGCACAATCCACTTCTTCACTTGAGTCATCTGAAGAAGTAGATTGTTCCCTTGAAAGCTCATGATACCATCTACATTTTTTGTTAGTCTCTAAGGGTATGTCTACACTACAAAGTTAGTTCGAACTAATGGACGTTAGTTCGAACTAACTTTCATAGGCGCTACACTAGCGCTCCGTTAGTTCGAATTAAATTCGAACTAACGGAGTGCTTAATTCGAACTAGGTAATCCTCATTCCACGAGGATTAAGCCTAGTTCGAACTTACTAGTTTGAATTAAGGGCTGTGTAGCCCCTTAATTTGAACTAGTGGGAGGCTAGCCCTCCCCAAGTTTCCCTGGTGGCCACTCTGGCCAACACCAGAGAAATTCGTCTGCCCCCCTCCTGGCCCCGGACCCCTTAAAGGGGCACGGGCTGGCTACGGTGCCCGTGCCAGGTGCAAGCCTGCCAGCACCCAG